CTAATTTTGAAAAACCGTGAATTTTTGTAGAAAATTTTAATTGTAGGGAAATAAATACAATCGCTTAACTTTTTGAACCTGAACAATCATAAAATACATGAAACGTCGTAAATTGTACTAAATATTATACATGTGCTTAATAACATGTATGTTATTAAATAACCACTGCCTCCGCCAATGCCTCCACCACTTCCTCCGCTAATGCCTCCACCACTTCCTCCGCCAATGCCTCCACCACTTCCTCCACCACTGCGAGTCCCTACTACCCTCCCACCGACCCCCGCAACTGGCAGCCAGCCCTCCCACCACTCAGTGTGGTGAGTGTTTTGTTTTTTTCATTATTTGCTATTAAACTACAGTATAAATAATGTAAACACATTCATGACTGCATATTGGAATGGCTATTTGAACAGGTATTGGACGGTGACATCATGTGTTTACTCTTGAACACAGCAAAGAATCAAACATTTCTGTTTACTGCTAATAATAACAATAGTAATAATAATAATAATAATAATAATAATAATAATACGATATAATTGAAGGAGGAAATTGTACAAAAATACGAGGGAGTGGTTGACATATCTTCAGTGTGGCTTTGTTTATGCTGGAGTGAACATTAATCTCCTGCTCTTCCAACATTTCACAATAATTCAGCGGTTGAGGCAGTGGTAGAGGCAGTGATAGAGGCATGGGTGAGGCAGTGGTATTTACTAACATATACGTATGTTATAAGTAATAATAGTACATGTTAATATTAATAACATTTATAATAATAATAGTTATTCATAATGTACTATTATTATTTATAACATATATGTTAGTAAATATCACTGCCTCTACCACTGCCTCTATCACGGGCCTCTACCACTGCCTCTATCACTGCCTCTACCACTGCCTCAACCACTGCCTCAACCACTCCAGTCGCACTCAATCTACAAGCACCAAACAATGAATTATTGTGAAATGTTTGGAAGAGCAGGGAGACTAATGTTCACTCCAGCATAAACAAAGCCACACTGACGATGTGTCAACCACTCCCTCGTATTTTTGTACAATTTCCTTCTTCAATTATATCGCATTATTATTATTATTACTATTGTTATTATTAGCAGTAGCAGAAATGTTTGATTCTTTGCTGTGTTCAAGAGTAAACACATGATGTCACCGTCTAATACCTGTCCAAATAGCCATTCCAATATGCAGTCATGAATGTGTTTACATTATTTATACTGTAGTTTAATAGCAAATAATGAACAAACAAAACACTCACCACACTGAGTGGTGGGAGGGCTGGCTGCCAGTTGCGGGGGTCGGTGGGAGGGTAGTAGGGACTCGCAGGTGGCGGGAAACTTGAATATGATTTAGCGGCTGGGAATTTGGTGGCTGGGAATTTGGCGGTTGGGAATTTGCGAATGTGTGAAGCCCGCGAAAGCTGAAAACGTGAATGTTGAGGGAGACCTGTATAATAATAATAATGGACCCTATTTTGAAATTGTCATATTTTTAAATTTTCGTGAAATTGGCCAAATTGCAAATTTCTGACCACGTTATTGGGTAGTTGAAATCAGTAAAATGGGCAGTTTCTTGTACTCAATCGATAGAAAAAATGGAATTCTAAAGAAATAGCTATGAGTTTGGTCGACTAGAACAATGGAATTAGCCAAAAATAGGGCTCAAAGTGCGCAGAATCGTAAATATTGCTGAGGTTGGTAACTTCACGAGAACGTAATTCCGCCAGTTTTCCATCAAATCTTGTTCTTTTGGTGTCATTACAATCGGGAAAGGATTCTCTATCATTCCATAAGAAAAAAATAATTTTTTTTTTTTTTTTAAATTTTGCAACACCAGCAGACACCTCAGGATTTGGGGTTGCAACAATCAAGGGTTAATGCACACCAGTGATACTGTTAACACTCCACAAGTGCCAAGTTAATACTGGAAAATGGTGACCACATGTGGGAAATTGAAAGAACATAGACTGCACAACTCTTGGAGAATCCTTTTTATTACCCTGAACTCAAGTATGGTAGGGACTAGTAATAGACTACAATGAAAGTACAACAAATGAGGAGCATAAATGTGATGGCAGCAGCAAGAAGAGCATACAATTTTGCTATGAAAAACTATATTAATGGTAGTGTTTCCTGATAAGCTTCTCTTTCCTTAGTTTCACCCAGCACTAAATTGCCTTTTTTTGTGATTTCTATAAGTTTTATGCAGTAATAATAATTATTTAAATATTTTATTAGTTTTCTATGGTACAGATCTTTTTAAGTCTAAACTAAAACCTCTTAATTACTTTATGCATTAAATTTGTTTAGAAATTCAAAGGAATTAAAAAGAAAAGGTATATTTTTTTTCAAGTTGAGTGTTATCCAAACCGTAACTAGTTTTATTTTATAAAAATTATGTTTTTTGCCATTGAATTCAATTATTTTAATATGCACATGTTAATAATAAACATTACATGTAAATTATTATTATTATTGTTTATGTACTGCAATCTAGAACTTTATGTAATTTTCTAGTGCTCACATGTTAATAAAACCTTGTGCATTTATATAAATCACTGCTCATATACAAGCTATAATTTTTTTTTTTTTTTTGTACCCATTTAGAAAAGTAGGTTAGATTATGATCTGTTACCCACAGTATGCACTCTGCAAAAGATACATCTTCTTTCAACAAACCGGCTGTATGCCACACAGGAAGGGTGGCTCAAAAAGAAAAACAAAAGTTACTCTTTTTAACTTTAGTAATGTATACAGGAAAGGAGTTACTTGTCCCTTGCTCCTGGCATTTTAGTTGCCTCTTTCAACATGCATGGCTTACGGGGAAGAATTCTGTTCCACTTCCCCATGGAGATAAGAGGAAGTGAACAAGAACTAATAAGGAAATAGAAAACCCAGAGGGTGTGTACATATATGTGTATGTGACCTAAGCATAAGTAGAAGTAGCAAGATGTACTGAAATCTTGCATGTTTATGAGACAGAAAAAAAGACACCAGCAATCCTATCATCATGTAAAACAATTACAGGCTTTCATTTTACACTCACTTGGTAGGACGGTAGTACCTCCCTGGGCTGTTGCTGTCTATCAGCCTACTACCTAGGAAAAGATACTTCTGTTGTCTGTATATTATCACTTATTTATACAGTGGACCCCGCATAACGATTACCTCCAAATGCGACCAATTATGTAAGTGTATTTATGTAAGTGCGTTTGTACGTGTATGTTTGGGGGTCTGAAAGGAATAATCTACTTCACAATATTCCTTATGGGAATAAATTCGGTCAGTACTGGCACCTGAACATATGGAGTGAAAAAATATCGTTAACGGCGGGTCCACTGTATATCTAATATATATTTTTTTTGTAAATTCCTTATACAGTCAAACACCCAAATTTACATGCTTCAGTATTGAACATTTTACTAAAGGGCCTCCTGTGAATACTGTAGTTTCATTTATTTATTTTTTTTTTTTTTGCATTGCTCTAGTTTTTATTTGATGCACAAGTGGTAAATAGGAAACTAACATAAGGTTATCTTCATAATATGCTCAGAGTAAAGCAATATAGAGAGAGATGGCCTCTGAAACAAAGTGTATTGTATGATCTGAATTTAGTGGAGCAGTACAGTTTTTAGCAAATCAGAATTCAAAGGGGCCTCTAGGACCTAACCTTCATGAATTTAGGATTTAAAATGTGTGAGTGTAGTGTATCTATAAGACCTGTATTGAAATTCATCATTTTCTGTTAATTCTGACAAAAGTTTGACTGCACATTAGGTATTTGTCTGTTTTAAATTTCAGGCAATTTACAAGATGGTTGGCTCTGTGATGAAAATGCCAGAAGATGAAAGCACTCCTGAAAAACGTACAGACAAAATATTCCGTCAAATGGATAAGAATAAGGATGGCAAACTTAGCCTTGAAGAATTCATTGAAGGGCCAAGAGGTGACCCCTCCATTGTGGTTTGCTGCAGTGTGACCCTCAATCATCTCAGTGACCTCTCTGAACCTAACCTCATCTCTACTAAACTATCTAAATACTGTATCTGATAAAACCTTAAACTTGTAATTACTACTCTTGGCCATAATAAACTTCCACAATCTCTAATATCCCTTAACATTAAAAACAGAATCTTAATATTAGTATCTTCCTCTAAACTGTCCACAGTCTCCCTGAAGCCCTTTATTCCTCACCTTCCCAGGCATTCTGCTTTTCCACTCTTTTTCAATATTTTTCAGAACCCCCTCTGCATCGACTCCTTCCTGACCCACACAAGATTCTCTGTTTTATAGGTCAGATTCTTTATTTCCACACTCCCACTTCTCTTAGCTCTGAAGTGTCCCTATGACATCTTTTCCTGTCCTTATCCTTAACTAGCCCCTGGAGGGTTATAAGGACTAGGTGCTTACGGTGTGAATCACACTGTCGCCTCGCTGTGTTGAGATGCCGACCTCTAGCCCTGTATCACATTTGTGTTTGGCTTCAATTGGCATTGAACCTGCTAAAAAGAGCAAATGAAGGGCATATTTGTTTTTATAGTGTTAGATATGGGGCCTGAATGTTTTAAGGGATGTAACTTTTGTAATGAAGGTGGGCCTATGTGGGTTGTGTGGAGTGAGCAATTGTACTGGGCAGGAGGATGTCTGCTCCTGCTTAGCCCTCCTGTATGTACTGCATGTTACCTGCACAAAGATTTCCTTGTCTGGTGCTCACCTGTCAGAGTCGGAATAAGTAAGAACAAAGTGTAGCAATGCATAGGGGTTGTAATTTTCAATGATCCCATTGTACTTAAATAGCGGAGAGTTGGCTTTACTCTGTCGGATGTTCCGAGTCATTCTACATACCAGTTATGTGTATTCCATTTCCATTTTTATTTACATTTTGTCAATTGCATGTTAATACTGGCAGGTGTTTGATTTTCCCCTATTCCAAAGACAAGCTCCTGACAAATTGGTGATCATCAATTAGAAAATTTTATATTTTTTATCTTTTGTAAGATTTAGTACAATTATCCAAGGGCTGGTAATGATTTGTAAATATATAAATAAAGAAGAAGGTAACTGATGACAGTAAAGTTTTTTACAAGAATTTTAGTTGAATTTTATATTAAAAGAATATTTTGATCAAACTATATTAATAAATTAATAGTATGATTGGTTATCCAGGAGATATCTCTCCTATAAATATTGCTTACCAAAATAGCAGCTGCCTTCTCCTTTGTCTAGTGCACTTGTGACCTTATGGGTAATGCTAAAGCATAACAAATATTTCCATTTAGGTTAGTTTTAATGAAGCACAAAATTGTTAAAAATAAAAGACTACGAATTTGATAGAAAAAAAAGTCAAGGTGGCTATTGCTTAGTGACAAATATTTTATTGCAAATGTGTCGGAAGTAACGTGGATATGGGGGCTGCCAGAAAGCTACGCTTTTTGATATGAATGTGATCAAGTTTTCCCCTGCCTTTGCAATCAGTGTGTATTCAACAATTGTTCTTGATCTTTGTGCCAAAGTGTCATGAGGATATTTTTTCTTTTACAAAGACTCCCTAGTTCCACTGACACTCTTTGGGGTAGCAGCGGGGCACTTTGCCTTCTTGCCTCTTGTGGGTAATGGAAGATTGCACTAACCTTAAATCATAAGGAGGCTGAGACGTATAATCCATGTTCAATTCTTGAATGTATTGAGATTATGGAGATCTTCCCCGAACTCACAGTGTTTAACTTGCCTCACTTCTGCTACACCCTTTTTCTTAACTTTATTGTAAGTGCTAACAAAGTATGGGTACCTCTGATTTTCAAATTTAATGCCTCGATTCCTACGGAGACGTTTCAGACATCCTTTATTATTGTGTGCACAAAATATGTCTTATGATCACCAGTTTTGTGCCATTGTTTGGGATATTATTAAGATGGTATAACTTAAAATTTTAATCATAAATGGTATACTAATAATGTTTGACAATGGGCAATGAGTTGCTGATCATTCTGCATGGATTTTCAGGCTGTGGATCAACACAAGACTATGTGAGCATAATATAGATTTTTAACAATTTCTCTTACAGGTTTATATATTATTCTCATCTCTTAAGTTAGTATTTTGTATGTATGTGTTAAATCTCAGTCTGACTTATAAAAATTATCCACAGTTTAAATTATGCAAATATGACCAGCATTGTTGTTCACTGTTAAGATAAAAAAATTTGTCTAAATTTCTTTAGAACTACAAGTGGAATTAAAATAGGATAACTCCATCATGTATAGTTTGCAACACATTTTATAAATAAAATCCTCAATTACCACTTGTGTGTTCTGAATGTGAATGTGTAAAAAAAAAATTGATAATGCTGGCATAATATACAAGCAGATATCATTATCTATTTTGGTAAGTAATCACATGTGTGCTGCCTAATGTCTGAGTGTTTTTCTGTGGTTACCACTGTTGTATTTTTTCTGATGACGCTTGATGACTGTGTCATATTCAAAGTCAGGTCTGTATTTATTGCTACTTCTGCCAGCTATTGCTGTCTGGGGAGATGTCAAAGCTCTTTCCCAAGCACAGGCTGCTTCGAAGTTTATAGCGTCATCACTCAAGCTGTAATATTTCAAATTTTTGCTATGGTGCATTTATTGCTAGAAAAATCACTGCTCATCACGATCATAGCTATTTATGCCTCCTCTCCTCTTCTCAATTTCAAGTAGAGGTGGAACAGGAAATAAGGGTTTTTGTGGAATATGTGCAGTTTCATCATTTTTGGAAACTTTTAATCTACAGTATTGTGATCTAATTCCATGCTTCAATTTCTATGTTTCTTAAAAAGTTGCACAATATAATTTTGTATAAATAACCATTGGGGTCTGGTGCTTGCCCACAAATATTTAACTGTGCAGTGCCTACCATCAAATTTATCTTGCATCTACTTGTGCCTCGCCCCAAATCTAGTTGCTGTCCATGAAGAAGCTGAAATTAGCCACAGTGCAACTTGTTTTTCATTGTATGGTTCCTGTATAGAATTAAATTATATATGTAATGTGATCAGAAAGGTGGGTTGTGTAGACTGTCTCTGAGCTCTGGTCTTTAAATAGTATTTTTGTTAAGTGTTAAATATTTGCTCTCATAACAGTCTATTACATTTTATACATTGTTTTTTAAAGTTCTTGTTTTGTTTAAAAAATCTATTGCTACAGTGTAACAATGCAGTTTATCAAAAGAAATGTGACTGTATGTAAAAGCCATTCTAGTATTATTAACACTAATTATTCCTGTAACCCTGAGGTTACTGGTGTACAGTATACATCAACAATACATTTTGTTTTATTTATACCAAATTCAGCAGTAAATATGGCCAGAGTTGAGTCACAGACACACACTTGTGCACACTCAAGAACCAAAGTTGATGTTTTGTCTGGTTTCCTCCTTGTTGTATTTTCCTGTGAAACAGAGTATCAAATAAAAGTACAGCAACAAGAATTACTGTCCGCTCTTTTTTTTTTTTTTTATATTTCCACTTATTCCACTGAATGTAAGTATTAAACTGAGTAGCCTTGATCATACACAGTAGCTCTATTTTGAAAAAATTAAAAGGATTGTCAAAAAAAAAAAAAGGGTCTTCATTTTTTTAACCTACTGTCTCATTCTGATGCTTCTTGTGTTTAGTGGTATTTAGAGTGCAGTTGTTTATATTGCTCGTTAAGGAAGAATAAAAGACAATATTGTAAGTGGAATATTTCACAGACAACTCACAATTTTGACTTGTTTTAGTCTTTCCTGACTTAATAACGGTCCAAGATGGACCAAAACATCGTCTAAAGTTGCCTCTTCAAACTGTGAGTTAGCTGTGTATTTTATTTTAGTATTCTTTTCTTCCAACTCCTCCCTGCCCTGCCACATCCTTTCTAACCCTCCTTTCCCATTATTATTATAATAAAAAAGAAGCGCTAAGCCACAATAGCTATACAGCGCTGCAGGGCAGGAAGGAAGCAAGGGCATCAGGTGGCAAAAGGGAGGTGGATGAGCAATAGGTTACGGAAAACAGAGGAGCAGTGGATGGTGAAAGGGCAAAGGGCAGCATGAGACTAAGCCAGAAAGGGCTGAGGGGAGTGCGTAAGGCATCATCATCAGAGTTTGTGGAGTAAATCAGTCGTTGTCAAGAAGTCAATGAGAGAGTCAGGATTAAAGGAGGGTCCATCAGCAAGAAGGGAAGGTAAAGAGAGAGTAGTAGAACGAAGACGGCGTTGGAGGTAAATTCTGCGTGCTCGTTGATAGAGAGGGCAGTCTAACAGAATGTGGCTAATTGATACTGGAACTTGACACTGCTCACAGAGAGGTACAGGGTGCCTCTCCATGAGATACCCGTGAGTAAGACGAGTGTGGCCAATGCGAAGACGGGAGAGAGTGGTCTCCCAACCTCGGCACTGATGACAACAAGACGGCCAGTAACCTATGCTCGGTTCAATAGAATGAAATTTGTTACCGAGCAGAGTTGACCAACATTGTTGCCAACGGGTGCGAAGGTGGGTAGCTATTGCAGCAAAATAGTCCAGAAATGGAACACCTCGATAGGAAATTGGTAGGTCATGTACTGCTGACCGCGCAGCAGTGTCTGCCTGTTCATTACCCTGTACGTCGACATGACCAGGGACCCAACAAAAAACAAATTCTTTGTTTGGTAGAGATACGGCGTACCCAAAAGTTGGATAGGGGAGAACTAGAGGATGAGATGTATCAAATTTTCGTATAGCTGGAGAGCACTAAGGGAGTCTGAGACTACTACAAATGATGACACAGGCATGATGCGATACGAATAAGTGCTGCAAGAATGGCATACAGTTCAGCAGTAAAAGTGCTAGCTGAAGATAGTAAATGCCCCCGCACGACGCTGTCCGGAAACACTGCTGCGAATCTGACGCCGTCTGAAGACTTAGAGCGATCTGTGTACACAGCGGTGGCATGAGAATGGGAGTGGAAGTGATCAAGAAAAAGAGAGCGGGAAGCCACCGTAGGCAGTTGAGCTTTCGAGCAAGGGAGTGAGAAAGAACAGACCCGAACAGCTGAACTTCCCAGGGGGTAGGAAAAGTGAGATGCTACATGAACATATAAAGGTGGTAACGGAAGGGAAGACAAGAGTGAATGTAGGCGAAGAGAAAAGGGATGGAGCAAACGGGCGGCGAAGAATAAAGAATGTCTACTAATATCGGTGACCATTCTATAAATGGAAGGATTGTGTAGATCGTGAGAGCGTACACAGTAGCGAAGGCAATGGGCATCACGCGATCAGACAAGGATGGAACATTCGCTTCTGTATAGAGGCTCTCAACAGGGGAAGAGCGAAAAGCACCAAGGCACAAACGTAATCCTTGGTGATGGATAGAGTTAAGGCTAGAGAGTGTAGCAGGAGAGGCCGCGGAATAAATCTGGTCACCATAATCGAGTTTCGATAAAACGAGGGCTGAATGTAGGCGAAGCAGAGTTCGACGATCAGCAAGGGTTTTAAGAAGGTTTAGCCGGCTGTGACAAGTTGCCTTCAGAGAGGTAATGTGAGGTTTCCAGGATAACCTACAGTCAAAGAGAAGGCCTAAAAACCTGACTGTATCACGTTCGGGGATACGGGAGCCATAGAGATACAAAGGATGATCGGAGATAACAGAGCGTCTAGTGAAAGTAATTTGGTGAGTTTTGGTACTTGAAAATTTAAACCCATGCGTGGTGGCCCAAGTGGAAACACGGTCGACCGCATGCTGGAGAGAAACTGCAATA